ATGACGCGGCAAACTTAAATTCAGCTTCCCCGTACCCGTGGGTAACACGTATGGCCCCGTGTAATTTTTTTACGGGTAAATTAGTATCTCAGGAACCACGGAGTCTAGGACGCTGAAATTTTAGGGTAATAATCCCCTGCCCACGCTTAACCTAGCCTATTCAAATTCAGCGTTCCTGCGCTCTTGAGTATCATCTACGGCCTCGTGAAAATTTTGGCGGGTAAACTGTTAACTCGGGAATCACGGAAAGATATTCACCCTTCAAGTTTTCGAATTCAGCTTTCATGCGCTGGTGCGTAAAATTTTTAACTGTTTTTCAATGTTTGAACTATTTTTGCATAGAATAAAGTAAAAAGCAGTGAAAATCATTAGTAGGCAATCGTTCGATGGGCTGAATTGCACAAAACACGTGATCGCAGTGCGCATTGCTGTTTATTTTAAATTGTGATTGTTTATACGTTTTGTGATGCAGTAGTCCACAAAACGCATATTTTCATAGCGCTCCTCACGTATGCGCACACTTATATATGTAGAGGTATATGTGTATGCGTCCGGGTGCGTTTTGTCCTTCAAGAATTAATAAAGCTGGAAAATTGAGATTTTAAAGGAATGACTTTGCCTGCGTGCGGCCCTGCAAACTCAAATTCAGTCTTTGTATACCCCTGGATCCTGCGTACGCTCATATAAAAATTTTGGCCAGAAAAAATATTGTCTGGAGGACCGCAAAAGCTAGGAAGCTGGAATTTTAGGAGGGTGTTTTCTGCCGACGTGCTACTTCACAAGTTCAAATTCAGCTTTCACGTCTGCCAGGATCCTGCGTAAGGATAAGCGAAAATTGAGGCCGAAAAATCACTGATTTAGGAACCAGAAAGACTAATGGGCTCAAATTTTTAGGGGATATTCGACATTCGTATTTAATCCAGATATTTTAAATTCAGCTTCTGTGTATGCCTAGGATTCACATGAAGTCTTTTGGAAGTCCTGACAGAATTTTGCCAACTCGGAAATCAGAAGATTTAGGAGGCTGAGGTTTCAGGAGAAT